TGGAGGATGGGAGAAAGAAGAAAAGGGTTTTTTGGTTTTGAGTTTTAGAGAGAAAGAAGAGCCAATTTCCCGATAAAAAGAAGAAAAAGGCTGAATTTATTGTACTTTCAACTTTCACATGAAACATGAGTATATAATTTGACTCATATTTAGACGCAATAGAAAGTGGTTCTTCATCAAATTTTCCCATTTTTGCAGAATTAATGAGTGACATTGGTGCTGGAAATACTTGAGAGCTAGTGAAAAGAAATTGAAAACTATTGAAATATACCTGAACCACATAATCAAAATTGAGTAATTCGTAATGAGAAAAACAAATAGCGTCACTACGAACTCTATTTTGCATTTATTGATGAGAAAATAATTTGTTATGAGAAAAACAAATAGTATCACCACGAACTTTATTTTGCAGTCACTGATAAGTAAGTAATTTGTCATTTGAGACACGAGATATGATGCAAAATAGAGTTTAAAATTATTAATTTTTTTTAACAAATTTAAATAATTTAACACACAGCTGGTCTCCCGGACATTTGCTCGGGCAAGCATCTAGTTTACTTTTTAATCAAACATTTTTTAAAATTTCCCCAAAGGAACTATTTTAATCCTAATCTTTCATATTTTCTTTTTTCTTTTTTTTTTGGGTGCACCGATGAACCACTTTTGATCAGAGATGGTATTTTGTATTTCTTCTATTCTAAATAAAATTTATCTTGAGTCAAGTTAATTTCTCTTATGTAAGATGAAAGTCTCTCAATCAGTGGATAATAACACTCTCTTTGTCCCAAGAAAAGAGTCCACATTAGATGGAAAGAGTATTAAGGTAGTTATGTCATAACTTATCAAAAACCATTCGTTTAAACCAAAAATAAAAAATAAAAAAATAGGTTGTGCCGTTGGTTCCATAATTTAACGCATAGTATCTACAATAACATGGTTGTAGTCTAATTTATAGCAATTAGTCAATTCTTCGTTTATTATTTTGTGGATTATAATTTTAATTATTAATTTATTTAAAAATTAATAACTTATTAATTTAGGAAAAAAATTAAAGAAGAAACTTTCAATTTCTAAGATTTAGGAGATAAAGTCGAGTTTAGTTTATATGAATTTAATTTTTAACTAATCAACTTCGATACAAATTTCAAGAAAAACCAAACTATCTTTATATTCATATTTTAATAAATCTTTCTATTTTTTTATTCTTATTTTGTTTAGTAACTAATTAATCAGTCAAACTAAAACATCAATAAATTAATACTTTCAGGACCAAATTTCATTTATAAATTTATTAATTAATCAATAAATTAATAATTATTAATATATTGATAAATTAGTGACTTATTAATTTAGAGAAATTTATTGGAAACAAAATTTTGGTTTTTTTGAACTGGGAGATAAAGTTGAATATGAATTATATAAATTTAATTTTTAAATTATCAATATAGATATAAATTTTACGAAAAAACTAACTATCTTTATATTCATAATTATTTATTTTTATTCTGGTAATTATTAATTAATTTTATTAAGGGGGTCAATATTTATATAGACGTTTTTGACAAAATTATTATTTTATCGATTATTTTTGTTTTTTGTATTAGCCCTGACTTACGATGAAAAAATTATAAATTTATGAAGTATTGATTTATAGAGACTTCAACAAAAAAACAGTCTCCCTTTCATGTGGGGAACCCGCAATCAACAGAGGACGTGGGCATGAACCGGTGTGTCAGATCTTGAATTTCGGTTTTCAAACCACCAACAATTTCAATGGAGAACCATAATTTCTCCTACAACTCAGTCTCTTACCACAACATGGATCATGAAGCCAATCTTTACTGGTAGTCTCAAAGAGATTACTTTGCTTTGATATAGGGTTGGAAGTGTTTTTCGATCTATCTAATCCAGGCAACTACCAAATTCGGGTCAACTTTGCCTTTTTGTATTAGAAAAGTCCAGCGAGAAAGACGAAATTTCTGGGCGATAGTATCGCAGTTCCAAAAAGACCCTAGGGGAATTTTTAGGCGATAGTTTCGCATCTTGACAATCCATCGGAGGTGGTTATGATTGAAAAAAAAATCTGACCATTGATGGAAGTAACGGGTGTAATACCAGATGAAAAAATCTATATGCAAGAAAGGATGATTTCTCCTCGACGGTATTATCTCTATGAGGAGGCCCGCTTAGGTTTCCATAAAATCCCAATCAATAATCCATTTTCCCTGTATTCCTTGTCGTTTGGGGATGCCTCATACTACGAAGAAGATATTACTCCACTCAATTATTTGGTGCCCATGGACATCGGAGGTGTCTAGAGATTTGCTTGATTGCGAACAGAATCATGCTTGAACTTTGTTGAGGATGCAGTCTCAAGTAGTGTAGTGTGATAGCTATTTCAGACAGAACTATGCAGGATGGAAGGTATTCTGCAAATTTTAAGCACTTTAACTATTGAATTTTGAGCATGCCATGGATGCAAGCGAGATTTTAGTTCATTGGTTTTTCACATTCTTTTAGTTTTGAGATTACTTATTGGAACTAGGCCATTTATTTCCTCCCTTATAGTTTTTTTTTTCTTTCTGGAATTATAGTATAGTAGGTAAGCATAAATACAAATTTTGAAACATCATATAAGAATGGTCCCTATTTTCCCTTTAAAAAAAAATTGACTGCATTTCATGTAATGTTCATAAGCCATATCCAAAGTGTTTATACACACACAAAAAAAAAAAAACTCAAATTACATATCAATATTTTTCTTTATAACAATGGTTAAAGAAAAAGATAAATCAACTTTTGAAGTTTTTATTAAATTAGAAATTTTTTTCATAATTATCCGTTCATCTTAACTAATTCTTTTTCTTCCATTATTAATGCTCACAAACAATTATTATTTTACTATTTTATCGATTATTTTTATTTTTTGTGTTCTCCCTGACTTGAGACTAAAAAAATTATCAATTTATAAAGTATTGATTTATGGAGCCTACCTCAAAGAATCATACTGACTTTCGTGTAATGTTCACAAACCATATTTAATGCGATAACACACAAAAAGAAAGTGCTTCAAATTACATATCAATATAGATTTTTCAAAAAAAAAAAAAAACAACAATGGTTAAAAGAAATCAACTTTTGGATTTTTTTATTAAGTTAGAATTTTTCCATGATATCCCTTGATCTTAATTATTTCTTTTTATTCCATTATTACTGTTCACAAAGTGAAACCTTGCAACCTACATTTGTGAAATGTTCTAAATTTCTTTCAGACAACTAAAAATTTCTTTTGTTTTTCACTTTAATTACTCACACATATTCTTATGTATCAACTGAAAATCAATTACAAAAGCTACAACACAAAGCCACGGCTATTGAACTTTCAAATGCAAATTAGTGATCTAGTTGAGAAAAAAGAAAGTTGTATTTTGGAAATGAATAAAAGAGAGGCAGATCTATTTTGCCACTCGTATAACCCTAGAGCAAAATCGCAAGAGACATTAATTGTTGACTACACAAAATGAGATGTTAAAGGCACACAAAACCAACTTACAGAGGAAGGTAGCCAAGCTGGATGATATAGTGAAGAAACTATTCGGACCAATACAAATTCTCGAGCTACAAGAAAAGCAACAATTCCAGCATAATATGACATGGAGAAGGGATAGTACGTAGTCATGGCAGCAGCAACAAAACGAAGTAGTAAGAGCTATTGTTTTCAGAATTGTTAGTGAGTAGTTGGGAATAATGAACATCTCTGTAGTCATCCTATAACTATAGAGGCTATTGGTGGGGAGAAAGTTAAGAGTTATATTCGAGCCAAACAATAAATCACACATATTAGAAGTGCAAAAATTAAAACAAATAAGGCTTAATTGAAAGTTTTTTAAAGTTGAAATAAATTCTTTCAAGGTGAATTCGGCAAAATCTGTAATTTAGGCCCGCGTCGACTTTTTTGTGTAAAAATTTTGAGACTCCGAGTACTAAATAACATCCCAATCTTTTCTTTCCAATTCAACAATTGTGGTTAAATGTACACCCCATAGAAACGCACTCATTCAAACCTAAAAAGAAAGTTTTATTTATTTATTTTTTTTTGGTTGCAGCTCTGGGTGTGCCTAGGCTTCTCCGGGCGTTTACGCCCCTGCTTCGAAGTTGATTTCACATTATGTTGTTTTGGTCCTCTTACTATGTCAAAGAGAATTTCCTTGAGAGTTTGTTTTTTCAAAAAAAAAAAATTATTTTTTTATCAGTTGAGAGTTTGTTATTATCAGTTGGCTATTTCCTTTGCATGGATACCATTAATCTCAATTAAGTGGGTTCTTCACATGTACATATTTATTTTTCTTCAAAAGACAGTAGTACTAATTAATAAAGTTAAGTAAACTTTTAAAAATTTAGGACAAAAAGCATGTTTGGTCCCTGAACTTTGGGGGGTTCATAACTTCGAGTCACTATTAATTTTTAACTGACGAAATTGGTCACTATCTTTTTGTTTATTCATCAATTTTAGTCAATTTAACAGAATTTATGGTCAACTAATGGTCAATTCTTTACTCTGTTAAGTTTTTCAATTTTATTAATTTTTTTACTGAACTGGAGCCCGCAATGTATTTTCAAACAACAAATCAGTCCCCTAATATGAGTGACCACCAAAAAAGTTGCTAGGTTTCTCTCCCGGGGAGTTCCTCTGAGCGAAGGCTCTCGACAATTAGGGTTCTTCGAAGCTAGGGTTTCCACCATTAAAACACAGCCATCTCCCTCCAACCATCTATCTCTTGTTATAATCCATCCTCTCTTTGAGTCTGCACGCACTTCTTCTATTTCACTATCTCATACAAAACTTTTTTCAACATAAAAGCATAACTAAAACTGGTTTTGTGCACGTTTCTCTGTTTTGTTGGTTTTAATTTTTTGGTGCAGGAAAGCGTCAGTTGCCTGATTCACCCCGCATTGCTTGTTGCCATCAAAGTTTCGGCTCTGTATTTTCAGATCTGGGAATGGATATGTCCATCGAAGACCCGTTCTCAAATCTTTCGCTTGGACAGAGAGAATTGAAAGTTATAGTCCCTGACGACGATGCATCTCCCGAGTTCGATCCAGGAAGGGCTTTGGTTGGTCGTCTGGTCTCCGGTAAGGTATTGGGACACAACACCATTGTTCAGAGGTTGAAGGGTTTCTGGTCTCTTAAGGACAATCTCACCACCCACGCATTGGGAGATAACACGATCTTGTTCTGCTTCAACAGTATGACGGATAAGAAACGGGTTATGGTGGGTGCTCCTTGGTTTGTGGAAGATCATCTCCTGATTCTGAGCGAGGATACGGCTGATGTCATTGCCAAGAGGCAAGTTTTCACGCACTCTCCTCTCTGGATTCAATTACATGGCCTCCCCGTCGGCCTCATGTCGAAGAAGTTTGCAGCGACTGCGGGTGACAATATCGGCCAATTCATTGAGGTGTACTGTGACAGTGAGGGTTCCTATATTGGCCGGTTTCTGAGAATCAAGGTGTCAGTCGATATCAGGCTGCCTTTGATGAGAGCTATTACTGTCAGCCATAAGGGTCAACTGCTCAAAATTCAACTTCAGTATGAACGAGTGTCGGACTTCTGTTACTTTTGTGGTGTCATCGGGCACGAACAATCCAGTTGTGATGCTAAAATCAACACTCCAAATGCTGCTTCGAAACCACTCGAATATGGCCCTCAGCTGATGGCTGATCCAGTGAGCAATCCATTCCTGGAGCGACGTTTCCAGCGACGTCGAAGTGAAGGCGATTCTTTTTCTGCCTACCCGCAACCAAATCCTACCACAAAATCTCCCCCTCCCCCTCCTCCCCCACCCCTAAAGCCTATTTCCTCCACCACAAGCCAGCAAGAAACCATTGAAACCCCTGAAAACCTTAACATTTCCACTCCGCTCACTTACAAAGCCGCACTTCTCACCCAAAACTCTCCAACTTTCACCAGAGACCGAAGCATCCCGCCATATATGCCATTCCAAGTTCCCATGGGCTCTCGCCATAGCCACATGCCTCCCATTCGAGTGGCCAAAACCCCTCTATCCCTTCCCGTTACTTTTATCCAGCAGATGAGGCCAAAAGACTGTCGGAGGCTTACTCGGAGAAAAATCAGAGGAAGCATAACCTCGTTTATTATGAGGATGGCTCAATCTTGGCTTATCTCCCACCAACCCTCAACCCCGCCAAAACTCTTGAGGAGAATCTTAGCCTTGGTACGTACATAGCTCCGAGAAATTATTCGGAGCTTCATGAAGTTGGCAACCCAATGAGAGAATAGCTCTAATCCGGAGTCCCCGTCAGGCTCTCCTCCTCATTTCCAACTTCAGTTATCTCCGAATGCAACTGGAGTTGACTTAATCGCCGTCATTCAAGCACAAAGGGCGGAGGATCTTCAATCCGGAGAAGTTGAAGAGTCTCTCACCTCTCAGCACCAAAACGCACCCCCTATTATTCAACTTCCCCCTTTCACCGCCCACTCACCTAAAAAACCATTCTCACCATCCCAAACATCTCAGCCAGAACCATCAATCCACAACCCCCCTCCCCGATCCTCCCCTCGAGCCCTTTCCTGGTAAATGTGGAGATGCATGCGGACTCCCCATTCAAGAAAATGGAAAGGAAAGTGATGATTCAGCGCCGTCGTAATTACATCTCTTCGACCTTTGATGGCAAAGGGGCGAGATTTACAAAGCAAAAACTCTTGGTTGCAGATGAGTTCTTAGAGACTATTCCAGTGGAGGTGATTACCAAAAAGTCCAGGGTTGAGCTTCTGTCCGACGAAGATCCGACTCCAATGCACACTACATCAACGGCAGGGAGTGGCAACACTAGCCACCCCGGCCGACAGTCATGAGTATCTTAAGCTGGAACTGCCGGGGGCTTGGGAACCACCAGACAGTGAGAGAGTTGCAGAGAATGATCCGTGGAAAGTCACCCCTTTTAGTTTTTCTTTCCACAACAAAATGTAACTCTTCAGTTATTGATAATTTCAAAGTTTTTGCTGGTTATTTTGGTGTTTCTATTAATTCCATTGGTAACTCGGGGGGTCTAGCCTTTTTATGGAGAAAGGACCTCCAGGTGCACATTAAAGCTTTTTCTCGTCGTTACTTTGATGCGGAAGCAGTATTTATGGGTGTGAATGTTCGCGTTACTGGTTATTATGGTCAGCCTAATACCTCACTTCGTCGTTCAGCTTGGGAAAATTTCGCAACCTATTTAGGTCAATCGCCCCTTCCATGGATCTATTTTGGGGACTTCAACGAAGTTATCACCCATTCAGAATATTAGAGTGATCGACGTCATCCGGAATGGCAGCTTGAGGTGTTTTGGCGAGCGTTGGATCGTTGTGGCCTCTCCGATCTCGGGTATAAGGGCGACCATTACACATGGTGTCGGACGGCGGTGGCTCCATTCACGCAAAGGGCTCGGCTGGATCGAGCACTTTGCAATCAAGCCTGGTGCTTCCTTTGGAATAGTGTGTGTCACATACCAACACATGTTTCTGATTATCAAGCTCTGCACATTCAATTCCGGAAAAGTTTATTGGGACTAAACCGGGGAAGAAAGCCGAAGCCATTTCGCTTTGAGGCCTGCTGGATCAAATCATCCAAATGCGAGAGGATCATCCGAAAGAGCTGGGATGTGGAGCCTGAATCAGTGTTGGGGAAGCTAAAATCATGCGAGATAGGGCTGCTCAACTGGAGCAAGAATACTATCGGAAGTATCCCAAAAAAGATCGAAGCTGCCAAGAAAGAGCTTCATCAACTAAAAGAGGGAACAATCACGGAGACCACAAAAATCATAATAACGAAACTCACGGAGAAGCTTGATAATTTGCTGGATCAAGAGGACATTAAGTGGAAGCAGCGAGCCAAACAACACTGGTTGAGGGAAGGGGACAGAAACACGAGCTTCTTTCATGTGCATTCATCGAAGCGCAAAATGACTAATCATATTTCTGAGCTCCGGGATGACACAGGAACCTTACAGAGCTCCCCAGATGCAATCGAGAGAATCATCACGGAATATTTCATGGAAATTTTTACAGCATCCTCTCCATGTGAATCGGATCTCCGCCAGGCCCTTAGCCGGATACGTCCCAAAGTCAATGCAGAAATGAATCAACGACTGTCGTGATCCTTTACCGCCGTAGAGGTAAAATGTGTAGTTAAATCCATGCATCCTTTTAAATCACCTGGTCCGGATGGACTCAGCCCGGTTTTTTACCAAAAATTTTGGCATATAGTTGGTAGTGATATTTCAGAGTTTGTTTTACAATTTTTAAATAATGGGCCATTTGTAAACCACACAAACTACACACACATAGTCCTCATCCCGAAAGTCGAGAACCCAGAAAAAATGACACAGTTTCTCCCTATTAGCTTGTGTAATGTGGTCTATAAGATTGCCTCTAAATGCCTTGCAAATAGACTTCGTAATATTTTACCTAGCGTTATTTCGGATTTCCAATCTGCTTTTATTCTTGGGCACTTGATTACTGACAATGTTTTAGTTGCTTATGAGACTCATCATTTCATGAAAAGTAAGACCACAGGGAAGAAAGGGCTGATGTCAGTCAAGCTAGATATGAGCAAAGCGTTTGATCGAGTGGAATGGCACTTTGTTGGGGATGTAATGAAGGCTCTCGGTTTTCTGGATATTTTTGTGGAGAAAATTAAAAAGTGTATAATGACCCCAACATTTTCTTTTTTGCTAAATGGTTGTCAGTTTGGTTCAGTCAATCCGGAGAGAGGATTACGTCAAGGAGATCCCCTATCCCCTTACCTTTTTATCATTTGCTCGGAGGTTTTCTCTCTCATCTTGCAGGACCTACAAGCTGCAGGACGTCTGCATGGGGTGGGCGTTGCTGATTCGGCTCCATCCATCTCGCACCTCTTTTTTGCAGATGATACTCTTTTGTTTGGAAAAGCCACGCAAGCAGAGATGCGCAGTCTAAAGTTTGCCATTTCACTCTACGAATCCGTGTCAGGGCAACAGATTAACTACGATAAATCTGGCATATAGCCCCAACACAAAACAATCGGAAATAGCTGCAATCTGTTCGGAGCTCAAAATACCTCAGGTTGATGGACACGACAAATACTTAGGCCTCCCAACATTCATTGGAAGGAACAAGCGGGATGTTTTCGGTGAACTGAAAGATAGAGTTTGGAGGAAAATACAAGGATGGAAGGAGAAGAATCTCACCAAGGCGGGCAAAGAGGTTCTTATTAAATCTATCATACAATCAATCCCGGCTTATTCTATGTCATGTTTCAGGATCCCGAATAATATATTGGAGGAGATCGAGAGCATGGTGACAAACTATTGATGGGGAGAAAATGAGGGATCGCATAAATTGCATTGGTTGTCATGGGATAAATTAGCTCTGAGCAAAGATCAGGGAGGCCTAGGATTTAGAAATCTCTATGCTTTTAATTTGGCAATGCTAGCTAAACAAGCCTGGGGATTGATAACAAACCCAGGATCACTCCTATCCAGGGTTTTCAAGGCCAAATATTATAGAGATTCGAGTTTCTTTGATGCTGAACTTGGCACCAATCCATCATGGTCTTAGCGGAGTATTTTGGAGAGTAGAAAGGTGCTACAATTGGGGAGCTACAAGTTGATTAGATCAGGGCGCCAAACCCGCATTTGGTTAGACCCTTGGCTCCAGGAAACGCGAACTTTATGATTTACAGCTCCTGCGCCTTTCTTGCCCCAACGGCTCGTGTTGCTGAGTTGATAGACGGAATCTCTGGAACATGGAACTATCACCTAGTTCGGTCTATCTTCTCCCAGGAGGAGGCGGACCGAATCATAGAACTTATCCCGGGTCAGCAAAATTAGGCAGATGTTTGGAGTTGGTCTCACGCGAAGAACAGGAAATATTCGGTCCGTTCGGCGTATCATGCAATTCTGACAGCGGATTTCTCCCCGATCTCAGTCGCGCCACTAATTCATCAGACAGGAACACCCAACTCTGGAAACGTCTTTGGCGCCTGAAAGTGCAACCCCGGCTATGCCATTTCCTGTGGACTGCTTGCAATGGCACTTTACCCTCGCCGGAAAACCTCGCCCGAAGACACATCCCTCAGTCAGATGTTTGTATAAATTGTGGTGCCCAGGATATTTCGATGAAGCATTTGTTCTTTACCTGCAATTTTGCGTATGAGGTTTGGAGACTTGCAGGCTTGAACATGAAGATAGACAACTTGGAAAAAGACGATGGAGGGGAATGGATTCGATCATTGATCCTCAAGTTAGATGCCACGGATGCTGAACTTGCTGCTACCATCCTCAACTGCATCTGGTTCCGGCGTAATAAGGCTGTTCACGATCTTGAAGAGCTTAGTCCCACTGCTACAGCTTTGATTGTTGAAAGCATGCGGCGTTCCTTCCTTCAGGCCCACAGGTGGCCGGAACGTATGTCTTCTCAGCTACAATCGAATGCAATCTTTGGATGTCCAGCATCGGGGCCGCGAATCTGGTTTGATGGAGCCATCTCCCGCCTGTTTCGTTGTGCTGGTGTGGGAGTTTGGTATGAGGATGCTCAGGGCTCTTTCGTAGAAGGGTGGTCAAAGAAGTTTCAGGGGATAACAGACTCTGAAGTTTCATAAACGCTTGCATTAAGGGAAGCTCTCCTCCTTGCAGCAAAGTACAATCTAGCAAATTTCGCGGTTATGGGAGACGCCATCAATGTCATCTTAGCCGCGCAGGAGGTAGTCGTAGCTCCGGAGAACTTTGATCCAGTCATGGAATCTATTCGTCAGTTAATCAACACAACTCAACCTTTGGGTATTTTCTGGTCGCAAAGATGTAATAATAGGATAGCACACGAACTTGTGGCTTTAGCAAAGAGTAATAACTCTGATTGTATCATTTGGTCGCATGTCCCGACGACCATCAGTCAATCGCAGTTGGACGATTTCCAACATCTATGAATGAAACTTTTTCCAAAAAAAAAAATCAGTCCCCTAATATTATTTTTTCAACAATTTTGGTCATTTTAACAAAATTTTCAAAAACTTTAAATCAGGCACAATTCATTTCTCCGTTAAATCTTTATTTTTTTTGATTTTTTAATAGATTGTGGGTCCACATGTCTTTGATTAGAAATTTTGTTGCAAGAGTTACAGGCATACTCTCACTGGAAAAGGGGAGAGTTTAAAACGACGGCGAACATTCTGAGAAGGAAGGTCGTCGTAAGTCTGAGGATATTGGAGGTCTGAGCAGTTCTTCCTGGTTAAAGAAACAGAATACAGGGCCACCATGTATTGGTGGGCCGGCGAATTAGAGATGTCCAACCGTCTTCTTGATGCAGATGCTTCATGCAGTGGATGAACAAGATTCTTTTCGGTACTTCTTGACCCCCCAGAGATAGACTACTCTGTACTTTTCGGAAAAGAAAGAATCCCTCATCGTTTCAGCCGACCTGAACAATATAGTCAACTCGTCGGCCTTTGCTACACTCAGCCCATTAGAACAATAAAAACTGCTGACGTATCTGCCGGAGGAGACGGACCAGAATAATGACTAAACCTAAAAGCCCTGTTTTGGTTTCCCGAGAAACGATTAATCCATGTTCATGATTATTGTAATATTCCCTTTTTTCCCCACAAATTTTATTAAATTTTCACAGGTTAGAGACTCTGTTTGGTAATGCTCAATTTGAAGCTAGTCTTCATGACTACCAGAAGAACATGCTGAAGCCTGGGTTCTTTGACGGTTCATTCAAGTCGGCGTTCGGCGTTGAAGAGAGAAGGATTCTTCTGGGAGTACTCAATGATTTTTACGGTGACAATTAAGTTCTGATTCCACCTGAACAATGCATTGTAAGAAGGCCGCTGTTGGACACGGATCAATCCATAATAATCTCCAATCTGAACTTACTTACTACCCCTGGGCTGGAATATTATCTGCTTAAGCTGATTGTTTTCAAGATTACGCCTCCGTAGGCGGAAATTCATGGAAAGAGTTTTGGTCATAAGTAGCACCAGTTGGCCAATTCATCACACTTTCCTTTGGTTTCATCTACTCGTGATTTTACTACATAATTCCTACTCCCTCTGTCCCAAAATTATTGTCCAGTTTGAGATTTCAATTTTAGTACAATTTGAACTAAAAATGAAAATCCAAACTGGACAATAATTATGGGACGGAGGGAGTAATTTTTTTATGAGCAGTACGTACCCAATCCTTTCTTAGTGTTGTAAACAAGGTTATAAATCGATGTATGCTTTTGGTATTGCTCTAGCTCAATTCGATTCATTTGTTTTCATATCTTGTAATCGAATAGGCACTCTGTATAATGCCTCAGATATCATGTGCCATTTGGAGCACCAGTAATGGATTCTATGTGATTTCTCTCGATGTTGTTTCTTTCGCAATATACTTTTACTTGGAGGTTATTTGGATTGTGGAGATAGTTTTTCAAATTGTGGGCAAAAAAGGGGTCGATTTTTAAATTGTCAGCACTAAGGTGATTTTCGCATTTCCTAAATCCGAAATATACTTTTTCCGGATTCCTTTTATCCGAAATGATCGTTGTTACATTTTCAAAACATAGATTAATGTGTTAAGTAGAAAATAATTAATATTTTGGATAACTTTTCTACGAAATAAGATTTTGTAAAAAGAAGAAAATAAATTAAAAATTAGGACAAAAAATAAATGAAAGGAAATAGAAATATTTTGGATGGCTGAAATCCGAAACAATATGTTTTGTATATTTGAAATCCGAAATAGCTTCCTGCATCCGAATTCTTTTTTAACCAATAACTACATTCGAAATAGTTTCTTCTTCTTCTTCTTGCAAGCAATCGAAATGGACAAGGTGAATAGTAACTACAGAAGGTTTGAAGAAGATACCATATGAGAGAATCTCTCTCAAGGGTAATTTTTTTTTAACCAATAACTACATTCGGTTGATATGAGAGAGTGATTGTTAAAATTAATAAATGTTCTTGATTTCAGTGAAAGTAGAAAGAGTATATTAGAGAGTTTATAGTAAAATTTAATTAATTGTCTGAACTGAGACTAAGTTTTGAAACATCCAAATATGGAAGTGAGCCTATTAAATTGAAATGAAGAGAGTAATGAACTATCTTTTTCATTCTATATATGGTTTTTGCATGGGCAACAGCAACTAAAGTACAATGTTTTCTTCTTCTTTTTTTTTTTTTATGTTAATTAGTTTGTTAACGGGTTAGGGAAGACAATTTCTTTTTGTAACACTTTCATTTTAGTTTATGCAATTAAAAATCGACTTATTTTTTAAATGAAAAAAATAGTTAAGCTTTTTATCTCATTATTATTAGCATTTGAGCTATAAGGATATACATAATACGTGTATAAAAGGCCCTACCATCCATGTACAAAACGTTCCAACATCTGCACGAATTAGTTTTGATATTATCAAAACTCATCGGATGTAACTCTATATAACATTTGTTAAGGGGGAAAGAAAAAAAGTAAATAAACTGCGCATGTTTTATAGTATTGTAAATGCCAGGATCGTCTGATGATTTAGTTTTGTGTTATTTGATGTCTGGACATGGTGAGCAGGCACCTATCGGAAATGAAGGATTTACCAAAGATTGTCTTATAGTTTCTGCAACACCAAAATATAGAGTTCAATTTGTTTCTACAAAAAAAAAAGAAAAAAGAAAAAAAAAGAAGTTGCGTTAAGGTAGCCAAAACAGCATACAAAATTACATGGATGAAACAAGGCTAGTGGCAGTGGTAGCCAATCTCTAGATATAAAAAAAAAAAAAAAAAAACTCATGTTCATTGCAAACGAGGCCTTTTTTTGGACGAAAAAAATACTGATTTTTTTAGCAGTAATCACTTCAATATATTTTGCATTTTGGTCGGGAAAAAAAAAATAGACACATATTTAAATAGAAAATATGGGACTTGGCAATATACATGCGCAACCAAACTTCAAGCTTTAATTCAAAAAAAAAAAAAAAAAACCTTCAAGCTGACACTAGGGAAAATGAATGATAGTCAAGGACATCGAAGCCAATGGTGGAATTTCCAAGAATCGGTGGAAGAAGAACTACTTGAGGAGGCCAGTGTATGCTTGCATGGCTCATTGGCGGAAAGACAAAAAAATGACTGGAATTAACTGTACTTATATAGTAGTACGTTTTCGAAATACTCACAATTATATTAAAAGTAAACTTTTAATTTAGATATTCATACATAGCTTGCAAGGAAGTTTACCAACTAGAGATACATTGATTCATGCACACTCACAAACTCCAATTGTAAATTTGTAGTGCTGTGGAGAGCTAGCATGCAGAAACTCAAGAATGGTGTAAATCCATATAGAAAATTCATATTAATCCTTATTTAACGGTGTTATAAGTATAAGATATTGAGTTTGGTAGCTAATTAAGTTAATCTTTTGTGAAATATGAATTGGACCTCAACAATGAAATCTAATACTCCCTCCCTTCCATAATTATTGTCCAGTTTGGGTTTTCACTTTTAGTTCAAATTGTACTAAAAATGAAATCTCAAACTGGACAATAATTTTGGGACAGAGGGAGTACTTTTGCAATTAGTACTCACAAAAAAAAAAAAGATATTCACCAACTCTAAGGGGCTAATTTATTTGTAGTTGTTAGACTTAGGAGTCGTAGCCGTTCTATTATTATTATTATTATTATTATTATTATTGCCTTTTGAAAATGTAACCGTTTTCTATATATTTCTGGGTTAATTCGTGTTATAAAGCAGTTTAGGGCTTGAGGCGGTCTTTGATATTTTTCTAAATTGGGAAAACTTGATTGAACTGTCTTTCTCTCTATGTTCTCTCCTCTTCCTCCTTTTCTGTAATTCATATCTTTCGGGAAAGCTTAGTCAGTTGCTAATTCCATTTAGGGCCAAAACCCATTGAGTTTCACAAGATTTTGAACTTTTGGGATTTTGTTTTGGGATTCAAGAAATCAGGGGGAAAAAACCAAAGGGGATAGCAGATAGAAGAAAACCTAGAAGACTGAAAAAGCAATGGCAGTAGACCCAATGGAGTCCCAAGATTCGTGCAGCTATAATCCTCTTGTTCTTCAGGGCGAAAATGGCTCCAAGATTCCAGCAGAAGTTGATCAAGACAATGATGAAACTGACTCGAATTTCCCAGAAAGGGTTCTTCATGGGCATGTTGATGATGATGAGAAATTACCAGAAGAAGTTGATTATGATCACGGTGAAGATAATTCGTTGGGTTCAGTTGATGAGCAGAAGGAAGGTTCAGATTATCCCATCAATTCTTCTCCTGTTCTTGTTGAAGACAACAATGCCTCGAAAATCCCAGAAAGATTCGTTCTTTATGACGATTCTGATGATGATTGGAAGAATGATGATGACTTGAAGATTGTTCTTTTCGATTCTGATGATGAATGGGATGAAGATGATTATACTGATGATGAATTTGGGTATGGCCCGAAGATCCGACCCGGATATCAGAGGATTCCACCTCCTCCACCGGGATTTGAGAATGCTTATCTGAGACATTATAATCGTAAGATCCTAAATCAATATCTCTTTTAATGTGTTCCTTCAATCAGTACTAAGTTGCTTCGTTATTCTTACTCTGTTTTCTTTTGAATCCTTAGATGATCTATGCTGCTTCGATGATGAGTATGATTCCGATTATCATCTTCAAAAAGCAATCTTTGAATCAATTCTAGGTATGAATACACAAAAAAAAAAAAAAGAACCTTCACTGGAAAGTTGAAATTCGTTCTTTTCTGATGAATTATCAGTGCCTATAAAAGATCCATTTTTTTATTTATTTATTTTTTTTTTTGCAGAATCTATCAATTTCCCAAAAAGTGTTGGTGATGAAAATGTTGATGATGAGTTGATATTACTAGAAGAAGTTGATAATGATCAGGATGAAGTATTGAAGAAGATTATTCTTTTTGATTCTGATGAATGGGATGAAGATCATACAGATGATTATGGGTATGGCCCGAAGATCCGACCCGGTTACCAGAGGATCCCGTCTCCGTCACCGGGAACTGAGAATGCATATCTAAGACATTATAATCGTAAGTGCCTAATCAACAAAACTCCCTTTTTTTTCGGGCTTAATTATTGTATTCTAATCTCCTAATCAGTACTAATTTGGTTCTTTTCACTCTGTTTCTTTTGTTTCTTTATCAGATGATATATGCTGCTATGATGATGAGTATGATTCTGAGTATCATCTTCAAAAAGCAATCTTTGAATCAATTTTAGGTACGATTACAGCACTTTGATTCAAAGATTGAGACTTTTCTTATTTTCCGAGGAATTAGTACTTACCCATAAATGATTCAATTCTTATTTTTTTTTGTTTATCATTGCAGAAGCAATCAACTTTCACCCTGTTTCTCGAGTTGGTGAATCTTCGGCTCTGGAACTGGAATACCCTGATTTGAAGACAAAAGGTACTGTGTTTCTTCGTTATAAAACCATGCGATTGCAAGATTTGGGTTATGATCTTCGGAATTAAAGGAGTTAATTTCATTTACAGGTTGTTTGTAAACAAATGATCTCAAGGAAAAGTTCTGTCATCAAGCTTGCAAGCTGCTGAAAAAGTTTAGTGAAACCCCTGGGAAATACATTGGTTATTGGGTTTGTTTTGATGCTGGCGGATCCGTTGAAAAAGCCTTGATCTTGAGGACATTACAATTCATCTACAAAAAGCATTATAGACTTCTTAGGTTTCAGAATTTTTATCATTCTTTTGATATGTGATTTAGTAGTACTCAATTCTTTCACGTGTAATTAGATTCTTTGATGTAATGTGACTCATCAACATTGGATGATGGTGTTGCAAAGATAAGTTGAATATGCTTTTAGTAGTATATATTGCTTAACATTCCAATTGGATTGCCCTGTTTCCTCAGTGAACTTTCATTTATTTTTTTTCGTGTCAATGGATCTCTGAACTGGATTTTCTTGTCAAGTTTGTGTTTGCAATTTGTCAAAATTTGGGAGTTCACTAAAATCTTCCAATAGCAAATTGAAGAAAACACATTAAAATGTGGTTATTGGAATTGGAAATGCAACACCTTTTTTCTTTTTTTTTTTTGTCATGCATGGAAAATTTCTAGAAATGGTCATAACAGATTTTGATATGAGATTTAGTTTATGGTGCTTGATTCATTTGTACTCAAAAATTCTTTGATTGTTTCTGAAACATTTTGGGTTTTGTATTTACAAGACCGAAGATTCAATCTAACGGATCGATAGATCATGGGCGCGCTATTCCGTTGAAAACTATTCCGTTGTACACGCCATTTTTCTCCTTTCCAACATTTAGTACTCCCTCCATTCCAATTCAATAGATCCATTTGGATACACACGGAGATTAAAAAAAAATTGAATAATATAGTTTATATAGTTAATTTTAAATAAAATTCCTACCACACCCTTATTAATGACTAATAAGTTATTAATTGATATAAGAGAGTATTAGTTGAAATTAATTAAATGTTCTTGATTTCAATGAACGTGAGAAGGGTATATTAGAGAATTTATTGAAAAAGTTAATTAATTGTCTAAAGTGGAACTAAGTTTTGAAACATCCCAAAAGAAGAAGTAAGTCTATTGAAATGAAATGAAGAGAGTACTAATTTGCTAGCTTCTGGGATGTTGACGGCCAAATGATCATTCACATAGGTCTTCAGTTTTTTCCCCCAAATCTTTACCTTATCAATATCATTTATTTTTATTATTAAATATGCTCAATAGTACTAGTGTTTTACTCGTGCGTTGTACAGTGGACAAATTTGTAATAAATTATCCTATATTTTTTGACGTAAAATATGAGTATATATTACAACATATAAGAATAAAAACGAATGTGTATAACAGATAGTAGGTTACAACATACAGTAAATGTATTGTTTATTTACTAATAAAATAATACATATGCAATGGTTTTCGTTGATGGAAGTGTTACAAATAACAACACATTGGAAAAAAATGCATTAGAAAATTCAATCCAATTTAATTCATAAGACATAAAAATGCGTAATAAAAAAAGAACAATTTGATTAATAATCATTGAAAATGGAACTAAAAATAAAATTTTTCTATTTAATCAAAGATTATTTGTTCAAAGATGATACTTATCAATAAGTTAATAGTTTAGTATTTTCGACAACACGTTGGAAAAAAAAAATCACAGGTCTCATTTCATCTTCATTTATATTTTTAACATTATGTCACTATGTATCGTCATACTTAAATGTTCCATGTTTTTTGTAAGTTAAAAATCTGCAATGATTTTAGCTACTATAGAATTTATAACAACCCCTTGAATATAAAAAAAAAAAAAAAGAACCGGTGGGTCTCATTCAATCTTTATTTTTATCTTTAGCAACAATTCACTCCGTGTTATCTCACTTAAAAGATTCTGAGTCTATGGTAAGTTAAAAATTGTAATAGTTTTATTTGTTATTTTAGTATTTTTGACACATCGTTACACCAAAAAAGAAAACACGGCTCTTAATTCATTTTCATTTTCACTTTTAACACCATGTTACTTTGCATATTCATTTTTAAAAGGTTTTAAGTCTTTAATAAGTTAAGAAACTGCAATTGTTTTGGTTGATAAATGTGTTGCCAATAACAACACGTGGGAAAAAAGTACATTAGAAAATTTAATCCAATTTAATTCATAAGACATAAAAACATGTAATAAAAAACAATTTAAATAATAATTATTGAAATTGGATAGAAAAATAAAACTTTGCTATTTAAATATTTCTGACAATCCGTTAGACAAAAACAAAAAAAAGAAAGAAGATCTCATTCGATCTACATTTTAATATTTAACAACATGTCACTTTGCATCGTCTTGCTCAAAAGGTTCTTAGTGTTAGGTATGTTAAATACTTGGAACGATTTTAGCTGCTATTTTAATATTTTTAGAACCCCTTTGAACCCAAAAGAAAAAGGAAGTAGAAGAATAAACAAGAATTATTTGTTCAAAAATTATACTTATCGATAAATTAATAATTTAATATTTTCAAAAACCCGTTGCAACAAACAATCGGCGGGTCTCATTCCATCTTCTTTTATATTTTTAATATCATATCACTCTATATCGTCCGACTTCTATGTTTTTTGTAGATTAAAAATCTGCAATGATTTTAGATGCAATTTTACTATTTATAACAACCTGTTGAACCAAAAAAAGAAAAAGAATCGGTCGGTCTCCTTAACATGTCACTCGGCGTTCTCACTTAAAAGAAATTCCGAATTTTTTGTAGGTTTAAATTTAAAATTGTTTTGAATACTATTATAGTATTTTGGCACCCCGTTGAGACCAAAAGAAAGAAAAAAAAAAAGAAGAATAAGCAATGGTTCAAAGATGATACTTATTGATAAATTAATAGTTTAATATTTTTGACAACCCGTTGCAATAAAAAATCGGCGGCTCATTCCATGTTCTTTTATATTTTTAACATCATGTCACTTTGTATCGTCGTACTTAAAGGTTCTATGTTTTTGGTAGGCTAAGAATCTGCAATGATTTTAGCTACTATTTTACTAATTATAACAGCCCGTTGAACCAAAAAAAAAAAGAACCATTAGGTCTCATTCCATCTTTATTTTTCTCTTTAACAATAGGTCACTCTGTGTTCTCACTTAAAAGATTACAAATTTTTTGTAGGTTAAAAAATTTTAATTGTTTTGTCTTTTATTATTGTATTTTTGACACCCCGTTGATCCCAAAAGAAAAAAAAAGATTTAGTAAGAACTATTTGTTCAGAAATGATAATTATCGGTAAATTAATAGTTTATTATTTTCGACAACCCCTTACAATAAAAATTGACGGGTCTCATTTCATCTTCTTATGTATTTTTAACATCATGTCGCTCTGTATCGTCCTAATTAAAGGTTCTATGTTTTTGGCAGATTAAAAATCTGCAATGAGATTAGCTGCAATGTTATTATTTATAAAAGCTCGTTGAACCAAAAGAAAAAAAAAAATCAGTGGGTCTCATTTCATCTTCATTTTTTTTTAACAATGTTTTTTAGTGGGTTAAAATCTGAAATAATTTAGCTACTATTTTAGTATTTATAACAGCCCGTTAAACAAAAAAAAAAAAGAACTGATGGGTCTCATTCCAACTTTATTTTTCTTTTCAACAACATGTCACTCTGCGTTCTCACTTAAAAGATTCTGAGTTTTTTGTACGTTAAAAATTTATAATTATTTTGACTGATATTTTAGTATTTTTGGCACCGCATTGAGCCTAAAAGAAAAAAAAAAGAAGAATAAGCAAGAACTTATTATTCAAAGATGATACTTATCGATAAATTAATAGTTTAGTATTTTCGACAACCCGTTCCAATAAAAAAATCCGCGGGTCTCATTCCATCTTCTTATATATTTTTAACATCAAGTCACTTTGTATGGTCCTATTTAAATGTTCATATTTTTAGTAGGTTAAAAATCTATAATGATTTTAAGTGGTATGTTACTATTTTATAATAGGCCGTTGAACCAAAAAGAAAAAGAACCGGTGGGTCTTATTCCATCTTTATTTTTCTCTTTAACAATGTTTTTGGTATGTTAAAAATCTATAATGATTTTAGTTGCAATGTTAATATTTATAACACCCCGTGAACCAAAAGAAACGAACCAGTGGGTCTCATTTCATCTTCATTTTTTTAACAATGTTTTTGGTAGGTTAAAAATTTACAATGATTTTAGCTACTATTTTAGTATTTATATCAGCCCGTTGAACCTAAAAAAAATAAAAATAAATAAAAGAACCGGTGGGTCTCATGCTATCTTTATCTTTCTCTTTAACAACATGTCACTCTGCGTTCTCACTTAAAAGATTCCAAATTTTTTGTAGGTTAAAAAATTATAATTATTTTTACTGTTATTTTAGTATTTGTGGCATGCCGTTAAGCCCAAAAAAAAAAGAATAATAAGGAAGAACTATTTGTTTAAAGATGACACTTATCGATAAATTAATAGTTTAGTATTTTCGACAACACGTTGCAATAAAAAATCGGTGGGTTTCATTCCATCTTCTTATATATTTTTAATTTCATGTCACTCTGTATCGCCTTACTTAAAGGTACCATAATTTTGGAAGGTTAAAAATCCGCGTCGATATTTTTTTTTTTTGGTTTTAACAGAACCAGGGCGGTACCTGGCGGGCATCGCCCGATTTAATTAATTAAAAATAAAAATTACAAAGGCAGTACTTAAGACTTACCCAAATCAAAATAGAGACCGTCTTACAAAAGTTCTTCTAATGAACTCCATGACGTCTCTTAATACTCTATTCTAAGAGACTGTCTTACATGGATGTACTATAATCCCTTGAAAGTTCTTTCCCTAAGCTATTATTATTATTATTATTATTATTATTATTATTATATATAACTATGAACTGTTTTACAAAGGGTATTTAACAACCCGATTTTAGCTGCTATGTTAGTATATTTAACAACTTGTTGAAAAAAAAAAAGGAACATTCCATCTTCATTTTTCTCTTTAACAATGCCTTAAAAAAATTGGTGTCGTCATTATTACATAATAAATTAACTTAAATAAATTAATACTATATACATGAAATTAAAAAAATTATGTTGTAAATTAAGTATAATGTAAAGTTTCCAAGTCATAGTGTTTCCTAATTTAAACTATCAGGGCCATATCATAATTTTATAAACATCAAAATAAAAAACCCTATCTCTCCCATAAATACTTCCAGCCGCCACCCCTTTTTTTTATTTGTTCTCTTCTCCTCCCCCAGCCCACCCTCTTTTTCCTCTTATTTTTATCTCGTGGCAAGCCTCCTCTTTTTGTTTTATTTTCTTTTTTGGGGTCTCCTTGCCTCCTTT